TGTTATTATTTTTAAAAAATAGTGCTCGATACAAAAGTAGAGCATAACTATAATTATTTATTTAAAATATGATTCCAACTCTTTGACATAAGAGGTTTCGTGTTTCAAAACAAGAGCCGAAAAATTCAATATAATTATTTGAATTAAATTGAATTAAAGTAAGCTCTGTTCCATCTTCAAACGAAATTTTTTTTGGAATAACTTATTTCTGAAATTTACGTGTTTTAATAGTATATTCATAATTGAAATCAAAATTTCCATGGTAACAGAAAGGGCGGATTTTTTAAAATAGGTAGGGGCGTGTTGGGTGTTAATAATACGTATAAGTATAAAGTTATTTCATAGATGTCAAGTCAGGGTAAGAAGTGGGTGTCTAAATTTGAAACGGAAGATGTTTTCGCCTTGTCTGGTTTACGTGTCTATGGAGATTTATTTATTTATTTATTTTATTTATTTATGAAAGAGATTTGTGCATATAAACGACTTTTAGACGACTTCATAAAGGGTTATCTTTTTTTGTAGGGTATTTAAACTATATATTTGGGCTATGGATTATAAAAGTTATTATATTGTATGCTTGTTTTTAGCTAATTATTCAGTGCATACATTTGATGATGTCGGCAAAAAACCGTTAACTTATGTCTATTGTTTAATCGATTTTTATTATTTAGAAACTTAATAATGTGCAGTTTCTCGTGGAGGCACAAAGGGCATGGGTCATACCAAGCTTTACAAGTTCTAGTCCTATTTATAATTTCCATTTTACTTTAGATGTCCTATTTATTTCCTTCAGATGCCAAAAATATTTTGATAGGAAGTCTGATTTCTTTTATTTATATTGTTGAAAGAGCACTTATGCTGCCTCCATCTGGCTTTAAAATCATTCTTCGTGGACCCAATGTATATCATATTAGTATTAGGACTCTCAGTGGATGATAAAGTACATTGGTATACCACAGATTTGATGCAGCATTTATTTTCTAAAGGGCAGTCTTCTGGGTTTCTACAATCACGTAATTTTTCACTGTTATTGTCTGATTTTAAGTGTAGGGTTTTATTAATACTATTCAGGCATGTTCAAGATTTTATTATTGTGTTTTTTTTTTATTATACCTTCTAGATTTTCAGTGCAGCTGTAACTCAATTTTAGGGTGTTCTTATTAAATATATTACTAAGCCTACTATTGGCGGGGAAGTGTTTATCAATTAGAGCTAAGAATTTCTGTCCTAGTTTAATACTAACCATTTGGTTGAACGGAGGGGTATACCAAATGATTTTTCTTTTCCTGTTTTTTTCTTTTGGCCAGTGCAGTTGTCTCTATAGTTAATGTTCGCATTTTTATAACCACTATTTTTTAGGGCAGCGTTATAGAAGCCATTGTGTTGTTGGAATATTTCTTTGTTAGCGGAGTTAATGCTAATTCTATTTTCTATTGATAAGGGTATATGTTTAATTATGGATGGAGGGTGGTTTGACTTCGGCTGTATATATAAGGGGTTACCATTTGGTTTACTATAAGTTTGGTATGTGTCGCGTGGTAAGTCTAGAGTTACGTCGAGGAAATTTACCCTTTTCAAATTAGAAGAGACAATTATCTTTAAGTTTAGATTTTTAAATTCACTAAAAATAATTTTTCTGATTTTCTCTATCTTAAAACTAGTAGAACTCCTCAACACCATGAACCCGTCATCTCTATACAGTCCGATGTTTTTAATATCAATTTCGCGGTGTGCCGTTAAGTTGTACAGTATTAAAAGAACCAACAAGGTCAGAAGACTCTGCAGAGTCTAATGATCCCATAGTGATGTCAAACAGGTCGTTATTGTTTTTTATTCATTGATCTCCATTATGAATGAGGACAGATTTTTTTTGCGCTGAGGATTATAGCTGTTTCTTCCTTTGTCAGGTTAGAATACACAGCAGCAAAGTCCAGTGCAGTCGTAAATAGATCCTTCGAAATTGATGGGTAGTAATCCACGATATCGAACTGTATTAGGGTGCAATTCGGTTTATCATCAATATAGTTAAACCATTTGATGACATCTTTAGTATTGATCCATAATTTTAATTCAAGTTGTTTTTTTTATTTGGCAAGTAATTCTTTCCAGGATCCTTTTGCTGATCTTTCCTATGTCGGGTCGGGTAGGATTATATATATATATATATATATATATATATATATATACGCTTCATACACTGGAGAGCGTAAAGATAACACCTCTGAAGTCTCTCCAGACCCACAAATACCTCCATGTCTAATAATTATATTCCATCAATACGAGCTTTTACTACAAAGTTATTACTACTCGAATTTCATTTTTATATTTTTACTTTTAATTCCAGTACACGAGTGTGATACACCATTATTATTATTATTTTTTTTACTAATTCGATGCTATCTTATTTTGTTGCTTTTTATCACAGAAGTATGGAGATATACACTGTATACATAGACTATTTTATTACTATTTTGATTTAGTCTTTTTTGTTCCTTTTTATCGCATAACTATTATATATTACGAGAATACTTTTATTACTAATTTGATCCCATCTTATTATTGTTGCTTTTGTACCAACATTCTTGCTCAATACGCATTCTTCATCTTCTTCTTCTTCTTCTTTTTCTTCTTCTTCTTCTTCTTATTATTATTATTATTATTATTATTTTCCTTTGATTTCTGGTGTGTACTTTCCGGGTCCTGACCAGAGACCTAAGGTCAGAAATGGCATCATTACATTTTCCACTGAGCAGTTTTGAAAAATAAATCACACGTATTTTACATAGATAAAAACTTGGGCTGTATTTGTGAGTACAATTTTTGTATCTCCCCAAGGCATGGGCTACCAAGGTTTATCATTATTATTATTATTATTGTCAATTTGATTCGATCATATTATTGTCATTTTTTATTCCAACACACTTGGTCAATACACTTCTTCTTCTTCTTCTTCTTCTTCTTCTTCTAATTACTGATATTATTCCATCTTAATATTGTTGCCTTTAATCAGAATGCACTAGGCCAACACGCTCTAATTTATTACTATCGTTATATTAATAGCTTTATTTCATCATACTTGATGCGTTTTAGCAATATAATCTCGGACACTTAATGAGGAAAAAGGGTTTGGAGAATATGACACTCACAGGACATAATGCAGGCAAGAAAGATAGTAGAATTCAGCGTGTAACTTGTATAACGATCTTATTTGACTGGTTGGCAGAAAAGTGCGTGACTAGAAGGGTGAGTGAAGATAAGAAGAAAAAGAAGAAGAAAAAGAAGAAGGAGTAGGAAAACCAGGAGGAGGAGAGGAGGAGGGAGAGGATGAGAAGAAGAAGAAGAAGAAGATCTCAAAAAAGATTTCAGCGTCATTAGAAACATTAGAAAAGAATTTCTTGGACAGAAATCTAACGTGAACAGAGAGCAAGATGGTCGTGGACGAAAGACTAGAAAGGTCAGTGGTCTGAGGTCAGTGACATTTATTTACCCCTGAGAGTAGACATTGTGAGTGATTTGTCCAGTTTCTGATTAATATCCTCGTCTTGAAACGACATTTGGACAAGGGAAATAAGCAGCTAATAAGTGAAGGAAATTAGGTGTAATTCCAAGGAAGAAGTCGTCTCTTGCGGTTATGTCGTATACATTTATAATGGCTTTTTAAAAATCCTATCACCTCATGCAAGGCAAAAAAGCCACTCAGATATAACATTGCATTTAATTTCTTTAAAATCAAAGTTGGCTGGAAAGCATATATTCGGAAGAGAGTTCAACACGCAAGAAATATGAGGAAAGAAACTGTTAGCATAGAACTTACGGTTACATTTTGCCATTTCAACTGTGATTTGCTAAGACGTTGCTGCCAATCTAGTGCTGCAATTAAATTCATAAAGTCTTGGTATCACAGAGCGAAGATGCCATCCGAATAATTAACATGGACGTGTAGTTGACCGTGGTGGGGAAGATATAAAGAACAAACGTGGCTTAAAATTTCCTGCTAGCCGGTCCAGCTACATGTGAATGTTGGACTTTAATTAAGTCCAAAGAAGACAAAGAAAACAAACAAGACCGATAATTATATATAAACAAATATATGTATTAACAACAAGTTATAAGCACATAGACAGTTACATTGAGTTTGTGTGGTGAATATTATGTGTGTGCATTATGGTGAATGTTCGTACGTACGTGTATTGGTGTTGTTCTTAGCGTGTTCTCAGAATTTGTGAAACGTTGTATTGGTGAGAGCTCACATATTGGTATTAGCTGAAATGAAGAAAGAAGAGACAAGAATTACCTCACCTCAACGCGAGGTGGGTACGGCCCAAGGCCTGAGGGAAAAGAGAGATCGAGGCAAAAGGTCACCCGTATTTATAGCAATGGAAGAGAGACTCCTGGTGAAGGATTAAGGAACTAAGGAGGAGCTAACTCCGACAGACGTATTAAGCTAACTCAGGACGTAAGTGAATGTATTGGATTCGGCTGGAATTCGAACTTAGCTCTCGGAATCCGCAATCGGAACCGCTATCCACTACTCCACGAGAGTAGGAGGTACGCTGAAGGAGTAGATAACGATGGAGTAGTGGATTACGTGCTAATACCATTGGGAAAGGTATTAATCCTCTCTTTCTCCCTCTAGCTATGTGTAAATAGAAGGAGAGACACAGTTCTATAGCCTTGGATGGCAACTAGACTAGGAGAAGGACAACTCTAAATTCAAAACCTGCGGAGGGTGGTTTGGGGACCTTGTAGCACGTAGTGCACCAAGTCTCTGTATTCGGCCCTTCAAAAAGTGTGGATGGTCCTGCACGAAACCTTCACCACTATAATCGAATACTATGTGATGGTGTCTGGCTATCGGTTCCTAGGAACAGAGCTGCTTGACCCTCATACGTTGAATTCACCATATATATATATATATATATATATATATATATATTATTATCATTATTATTATTATTATTATTAAATAATGCATCTTAATTAATTGTAAAATGTATTAGATGTTCGGCCCATATTGCTTGCAAGTACTTTCGGTGAAAACATTTACCATCCTCAGGAATAGATTTTTTTTTCCTCAATTTTAGGTAATTTCGGGTAAAAATCCAAGACGAAAATAAATAGTTGTTTTACTAAAAAGTTAAGTTAAGAATTGTACAATTAATAAAAACAAGGATCGTGTCATTCAGCTAGTGGTCAGTGAGTTAATGCCATCTTAGTCTGTTAGCGAAGTGAGTTCGCCATTAATTACATTATTGACAATGAGGTCAACACGAACTGGTAACAGTTTGTTTTATGTAATATTCAGGCCCTCGGAAGATTTTATTGAAGCAGGAAACTGATTCTCTACTCTTGCACTTGACTTAAGGTACCACCTATATATTTACATTCGCCCCATCTCTGATATTGAGCACTTATGTCCATAAATTTATATGTTAGTTATTTTTTAGTTCCTTCATACAGTAAAATATATAGTTAATATATATATATATATATATATATATATATATATATATATATTTTCCTCATATAGTAAATCTGAAATTTCCTGTTTTTTTTTTTTTTGTTTTTTTTTTCTATGGGGCAACCAGTAGTATATATTTTGAGCGTTGTTAAATTAAAAAAAAAAGAAACCTAAGGAGATTTTTATCTCTGTTTATTTTGTCAGATAAAATTCTCATATTTACCTTCACAATATATATATTGTCAGACTTTGTCCATTTCATAATGTGTGACTTCATTTGTTTACATTTGGATACGCCATGAGCAGATATGAATGTACGTGAGAGAATCATGGAAGACTGTAGTTTAAAGTCAGTAAAATCGACCTGGCTAACCGAACGCTCCTCTGTGGCCCAATCGGTTAAGGCACGTCAGGCTATATGACGATTCCGCATAGGATACAGGTTCGATTCCTATCAGAGGAGGAATATTTTCTATCAAAAATCACTTGGACATTCAGGCCGATAAATGTTGTTTAATACTGTTTATCTTAAGCAGACCATCTACTTAAATATTTGTATCTATAAAAAAAAGAATATATATATATATAAAGACACATGTCTTAGGTTTGATTGAAATGGATAAATTCTGTATTAGTTTTTCGACTGTTTTTTTTTAAGCTTTCATAGTTAAATTTCTATTTCTGAAAAGAACCCTGTTCACACCGGGGTTGACAAGATAGACGACTGATATCTTCCTCTTCCGAAATAGGCTATTCCACATATGAGGTTATTTTGGATTTTATTGTTTAAAATTTTTGCTCTGTTTTAAAAAATAGATTGAGCTCTTTTTGTGGATCAATTTTAATATTTTATATTACTAGGATCCTCTTGGATTATATAGCAAAGGATTTATTACCATTACCATATATATATATATATATATATATATATATATATATATATATATATATATATATGCGTGTTAGTGTGTGTGTAAAGATCACGTTTATTATTTTATTTGAAAGAGTTTTTGTTTGTTTTTTTTTCTTCTGAAAGAATCGCAAATCATCTCGTTGGTTTCTTCCAATCACAACGCTAAAAGAGAACGGCGAGAGGGTTGGCGTTCAGCGAGGTAGACTTGGTCTGCGGAAATGGAATCCTTATCTCGGCAGACTGACTTGGTGTCGGATTGCATTGCTATTCGGGCACTTTGATATATCGATCGACTGACGTAGGCCGATATCGAACATTCCCCTGATAGATCCGTTTGGAAGACAGAGGAAATCTGTTCAAGGCAAAAGACTCCCTTTGCGAATTCTATCTTCTTATTTTCCCTCTCATTTTAACCTTCTATAAAGTTTCTTTCTTTCTTTCTCTCTTTCTTTCTCTCTGTCTTTCTTGCTCTCTTTCTTTATTCATTTTTTGTCCTTCTAACCGCTTCTCTACCTTGCTGTCTTTTTCGCATTGTTACTGTTGGCTGCCTATCTCCCTTTATTCGCTTTACTCCTTTCTTTTTCCTTCTGTTTTGTTTTTCATCATACATTTTCTTTCGTCTTTATTTCTTTCTTTCTTTCTTTCTTTCTTTCTTCGAAATTTCTTCGTCTTTGTTTATTTGTTTTTTTATTCCTTGCTTTTTCTTTTCCTTCTTTCTTAAGTATTTCCTGTTTCTTGTTTTGTTTAATTCTTTCATTGATTCCTTATTATTGTATATCTTTTTCTTTTCTTTCTTCATTACTTTCATTCTCTGTTCCTTTCGGTACCTCTTTTTCTCAATTTTTAAATTATTTTCTTTATTCCTGTCTTTCTTTCTTTCTTTCTTTCTTTCTTTCTTCCCTTTTGATATCCTTAGCTTTTCTTTCTTTCTTTCCACCCTTTTGACATCCTTAGCATTTCTTTCTTTCTTTCTTTTTGACATCCTTGGCATTTCTTTCTTTCTTTCTTTCTTTCTTTCTTTCTTTCTTTCTTCCCTTTTGATATCCTTAGCTTTTCTTTCTTTCTTTCCTCCCTTTTGACATCCTTAGCATTTCTTTCTTTTTTTTTTTTTTTTTGACGTTCTTGGCATTTCTTTTTTTTTCTTTCTTTTTTCTTTCTTTTCTCTTTCTTTCTTTCTTTCTTTCTTTCTTTCTTTCTTTCTTTCTTTTTTCCCTTTTGATATCCTTAGCTTTTCTTTCTTTCTTTCCGCCCTTTTGACATCATTAGCATTTCTTTCTTTCTTTCTTTCTTTCTTTCTTTCTTTCTTTTTTTCTTTCTTTCTTTCTTTCTTCAGTCCGTCCTTCCATAATTCCTTTATTCTGCCTTTTCTTACTTTTTTTTTCCTTCATCTTCATTTTTTATTTGATAGCTTCGTCCTTTCTTTTTCGTTTCGCTTGTCCTTTGGATTTCATTCTTCCTTGTTTTTCTTTGTTTCTTTCTTCATTTGTTTACTTGATAGCTTTGTCATTTCTTTATTTTTCTTTTCTTTCTCTGTTTTCTTTCTTTTATTCATTCTTTCTTTGTTCAGTTCGTCATTCCCTAGTGCCTTTGTTTTTCTAATTCATTCATTCAGTCATTTATTCTTTCTTTCTTTCTTTCTTTCTTTCTTTCTTTCTTTCTTTCTTTCTTTCTTCAGTCAGACATTCACTAATTCCTTTCTTTCTTTCTTTTTTTCTCTCTTTCTTTCTTTTCTTTCTTTCTTTCTTTCTTTCTTTCTTTCTTTCTTTCTTTAGTTCGTCATTCCCTAATTCCTTCCATTCTTTCTCCCTTCCTTGCTTCGGTCCGTCATTCCCTAATTCCTTTGTTTTTTAATTATTTTAGACTTTCTTTCTTTCTTTCTTTCTTTCTTTCTTTCTTTCTTTCTTTCTTAATTCTTTTTGTCTTTTTTCTTTCTTTCTTTCTTCATTCCCTAATTCCATTCTTTCTTTCTTTTTCAGTCTGTCATTCCCTAATTTTTTTCTTTCTTTCTTTCTTTTTTTCGTTCTTTCTTAATTCTTTTTGTCTTTTTTCTTTCTTTCTTTCTATCATCATTCCTTAATTCCTTTCGTTCTTTCTTTCTTTCTTTGATTCGTCATTCCCTAATTTCTTTCTTTCTTTCTTTAGTTCGTCAGTCCTTAATTCCTTCCATTCTTTCTCCCTTCCTTGCTTTGGTCCGTCATTCCCTAATTCCTTTCTTTTTTAATTATCTTAGACTTTCTTTCTCTCTTTCTTTCTTTCTTTTTTTTTTCTTCCTTAATTCTTTTTGTCTTTTTTCTTTCTTTCTTTCTCTCTCTCTTTCATCATTCCCTAATTCCTTTCTTTCTTTCTTTCTTTTTCAGTCCGCCATCCCCTAATTTCTTTCTTTTTTTCTTTCTTTCTTTCTTTCTTTCTTTCTTTCTTTCTTTTCTTTTTTCTTCGTTCGTTTGTTCGTTCTTTCTTTCTTTCTTTCTTTCTTTCCGTTGACCTTCTATAACCTCTTTTTTCTTTCTTTTTCCTTCATCTCCGTATCTTTCTTTACTAATTTCATCTTCGAATTTAACCCCCACCTCACACACACACTATTTTTAATCTCTTTTTTTTATTCAATTCATTTCTGTCTTCCCTTCTCTCTATCGCTGTAATTCATTTCTGATGCAAACACTGTTCCAAATTCTTCCCCACGACCATCTTGCATTCTCACATCAGTTCATTTCTCCCCTTTCTTCGTGTTTCTCTTTTATTTTTGTGCCTCCGGCCATCATAGTCTATTGTTCGATTATCTCCCTTGAGAAGGTAGCTCTCTTAGCTATAATCCGACAAAGGTAATAACTTTCCAAACATAACTTGAACGACTATACGTAGAACAATGCGAAACACTGCTATTTCTGCAACTTCTTAGATCACCATTGATACATACTCAGCAAAAAATATATATACCTTCCTTTAGATATAATGGATATTTTATTTATTAAACCGGCAGATTTTATCAACTTAGACATTTTTTTAGTGGGTACGCTGTATTTATTAAGCAGTATATTATGTATTTTCGTCTACCAGTTTGAATATTTGAGGTATCTTATTACAGAAAATTATTTATTTATTACACATGAATGATAATTGTAGGCTTATATTGTATATCTGGTGTTCGTGATTACTTGTATCATGCGACTGGGGTCCATGACGGTTAGCTAAACTCCTCTCTACACCAACATTAAAGTGCTAAGTCACAGGATAGAAAAAGCTTTCCTATATGTTGTGAAAGGTCAAAAAATTCGTCACAATTGAAAAATAAGACAAAATAAGAAAGCCGAGATGCTCATGAACGCTTAGAATATCACGGACAGAATATGGGACAGATTAACTGCTCTAAAAAGGATATAAGGAAACAATTTTTTGACTATCGGTCACCCAATGAGGAACAAAATATTTACCCATCAATATACTGCAGAATATGTTTTTCAAAATACTTGTGTTTCTTTTCTTGAATCCAGTTTTTTAGACAATTACTGTACAAGAGGAAATACACTAGACACAGGAATATATTTGAATGACTGCGTTACTACATCCACTCGGACATTTACATCCCTCTTTTACTCAGACTATCACGCCAACTGACTACATTTTATTTATACAAGGCGAACCGACCTAGTGGCAGACATAAAATGTACTCGAATATTTAATAGGAAAATGCTCGGCTCTCTTTGAATGTGTGTTACTGGAAGAGTATAAAATATCTAAAAACTCTATAGCTACACATGCTTAAAAACTAAAATAACTGAAATGTAATATAATATATATATATATATATATATATATATATATATATATATATATATTAAGAATTGGACAAAAGTCAAACAATTTATTAAAGACATTTTTATGTTTAACATTCTTTTTATAGATACAAGTATTTAAGTAAATGCTCTGTTTATAATAAACAGTATTAAATAACATTTACCGGCCTGAATGTCCGAGAAATTTTCATAGAAAATATTCGTCCTTTGACAGGATTCGAACCTGCATCCTATACGGAACCGTCATTTACTCTGATGTGGCCGAGTCGGTTAAGGCACGTCAGCGTAAATGACGGTTTGACTGAATATTGCGGCATCATCTAGACCACTTATATTAGCTTTCATTACATATGCAAATCAGGCAAGTTTTTAAATGCAAAACTCTATTTTCATGGAATATATATATATATATATATATATATATATATATATATATATATATATATATATAAAAAGATAGACTCTAAAAGCATGCTTCCCCAACAACTATAATTTTAACCTTTTCAAATTTAGGGTTGAATGTTATCTTTCCCGTATCAGCATAAACTGTGCCTCATAGTCTGATACTTGTAAAGGGTAAACAACATTGCACCAAAAAAATATATATATATATATATATATATATATATATATATATATATAATATGCTTCTTCTCTCTCTCTCTCTCTCTCTCTCTCTCTCTCTCTGTGTGTGTGTGTGTTGTGCATGAGAAACTCACACGTGTGTGTGGCAATTATCGGATGCACACACTTAAACACACTAAGTTTAAAATACAGTGATGCTGATAACCCCACTAAGAAATGACTTCCGGATATAAGGAATTGGTTACAAAGTCCGGATATGAGGGGTTATATTTAGATTAAAATAAAAGAACTGAAAGAAGTTTTAAAATTCATTTTCAGTGTTTTATAGGAAACTAAATAAGCTAATGGTGAGTGAAATATAACGGAATTGATTTTAAGGAAAAAGAAATAAATTATGTAATGTTAATGAAAATTCATTAAATTATGTCTGCCACGTATGCAAAACAAATAATGCAACGAGGGTTTTTTAATCGCTGTTGCATGATGATTCTCAACATTTTTCCTCATTTCGTTTTGCTTTTGTTCTTGAAATGTTTTAGACAAAAGACACTGCTTTTAACCCTGCGTGCGTTATTGCAATCGTCATAGTTGAATGCTGGCTTTCTTTCCATAAAACTGAAAACCTTTTCAATAGCTTTTTCTATTTCAGTCCAGGTTTCATCACAATCATGTTTTTTTTTTATTTCCTTGTTCATTGTGAGTGTGAAAGCTGGAGAAAAACATGTCCAGATATGCGGGATTCCGGATATGCGGGATTCCGGATTTGAGAGGTTCCGGATTTGAGAGGTTCCGGATATGAGAGATTCCGGATATGAGAGATTCCGGATTTGAGAGGTTCCGGATATGAGAGGTTCCGGATATGCGGGATTCCGGATATGCGGGATTCTACTGTAATTGGAATAATTAAAACAATTGGAATAATATACCACCCTTAAACTCAGAGAGTGCATTTAGTAAATAATAAACAATTTAAATACATTGATTTCTTGATTAGTTATTAGAAATTTAGTATATGAGATAAGGAATTGAACATAAAATAGGCTGTGTTAGTGGCAATTAACATGAATATTTAGTCACTGTAATCATTAATTAATGACATGTTCGATCCAGGCGCCTTGCTGCTGGAGGACGTTTGCCACTCTGGCAACTGAAAATGTTCACGACTCTCTCCAACATGTCTGTCGGAATTCTCCTGATTACTATCTTGGTGTTTTTCTTTTAGCCTGTCAATTGTGTCTGGTTTGCCATCATAGACTCTCTCCTTCAAGATATTTAAAAGAAAAAACTTGTAGTTCCAACGAATGATTTATTTCATAGAAATATTTCGACTAGGAGTTGTCAGTCTTGGTTACTCCTTAATTTGAGTAAAACAGTGAAAATAAACTAGAAACGCTTAAGAATTCAAATCAAGGAAAAAAAACGAGGTGATGACGTTTACAAAGTAATAGCAAGTTGACGCGTAAAAAAAAGAAAATTTTACCATTTTTTCACCTTTGTTTGTGTGTGTGCGTGTAAGCATTCAGACATAATAAAATATATATATATATATATATATATATATATATATATATATATATATATATATAAGAATATAAGAAAATAAGAAAGAATAAGAAAAAAAAGTCAAAAGGGGTTGAAAATATTTTAATGTTTTAATGTCCAAAAGCAACTGAAAATGTCCACGACTCCCTCCAACATGCCATTCGGAATTCTCCTGATTTCGATCTTGGTGTTTTTTCTTTCAGTCTGTCAATTGTGTCTGGCTTGCCTTCATAGACTCTCTCCTTTAAGTAGACCCAGAGAAAGTAGTACGGCGGGCTCAGATAAGGAGAGTAGGGTGACCATGTATTGTCAGTACTCCTTGAGATTAATTGATATCCAAGAAAAAAAAAAAAACTCTTTCTCTCTCGATAACAGTAACGACGTGATTATAACGTAGATGTCGAAGATATTTAAAAGAAAATAACTTCTAGTTCCAACTAATGATTTATTTTATGGAAATACTAGCAGGAGAGCCCGGCGTTGACCGGGGATGTAACAGTAAGAGATAGATAAAGTATCGACCATCATAAAGACTGAAAAATAAAATTGACAAAGATTATTGTTTAAGGTTGACGGACACGCATGTCTTAATTGGTTTTATTTTTTTTTACGAATTGGTCAAACAAAAGCATTGTTTTCAATCGTTATGAGTCTATTGATTGAATAGAATTTTATTATAAACAATTGTCTTGTAAATGGAATTTTTAAAGCATTCTGAATGTAAAAATAAAGAAAAAAGTGTGCAAGACAATAAGTAACACTACCTGTCAAAAAAAAAAAGTTTTTTTGAAATCGGTTGAAAAATGTAGGAAATCCGATCCCATATATAAACGAACACACACACACACACACACACACACAAACAACTTGGGTTTTATAATAAGTATAACTCGATATGAGTTGTCTCCCTTTCATTCTGGCGACAGAATCGTGTTTTATCATGTTTTCAAATTGATGTTGTGCAAAAACAATTGTGTTTTTCCAATTTTTGGCGCTGTCAGAACCACCGCAAGCTAATTTTACGTAGTCCTGTGAAGTTTTGTTGAAATGGGTTGAAAAATGTAGGAAATCCGATCCAATATATAAACGTACACACACACACACACACACACACAATCTGCGTTTTATAATAAGTAAGATTTCGACTAGGAGTTGTCAGTCTTGGTTACTCCTTAATTAGACTAAAACAGTGAAAATAAACTAGAAACGCTTAAGAATTTAAATCAAGAAAACAAACCGAATTGATGACGTTTACGTAGTGTCGGCCGCTTTTCACGGCATGCAGCAATAAACGACATCAGAAGAAGAAGTTTGGATGCAGATAAGCCCCCTTTCCAAATCGAACCCGGAGACCTCGACCGTAGTGATAGAAAGCGGTCGGATTGCATTACCATTTACCCTTTTTTATAATGGAAAATTGCTGATTTGGGATGCGACTTGTGCGGATATATTTTCGACCTGTAATTTGATCATGTACGCGGTTGAACCGGGGTCAGTCGCCCGGGACGCAAAGATAAAAACAAAGAAAAAAAAATAGTTAAATATTCTTCTCTTGCTGATAGT